TGATTAGGAAGGAGCTAGAAGTCACTATTATCTGCTTATTTTCTTTGACGATTGAAATTTGACATGTCTCCGATTCGCTTCAATTTTTTATGGGTTTTATACATGAAATAAGCTAACACATATTCGAGGATTTACTTCTTCAAATCGTTATATGCCAGGCTCTCCTCGTCGCAGAGACTTCATCTTAACGTCGTTTTGAAGATAATGAAACGGGCTTAACATTATATCTATATGATGGTAATGATTGTCCTAAAGTTAACTTAGCTTTTAACAGTTGAACTTTTGTATGTTGATTTGCATAGTGAAAACCATCGTAATCGTTGTTTAAGTCTCAATAAAAAAAAAAAAAATGTTCAAAAAAAAGGGAGTTTTTCAAGAACTATTTTTAATATATTTTTGTTTTTTTTTTATGACGAGGTGGTTTATTTTGTGAGAGTCAACATTGAAGTCTCTACGATGAACAGAACCCGAGATATACAAATTTGAAGAAGTACATGATTATTTAGTCAGAATCAGGAAAAAATCCAAAATTTGACAGATCACATATCCGAATAAAAAAGGAAAAATGTGAAGCCAAACGAAATTGTGATACCAAATTTGGTGTCCGATATGAAAAAGAATGCCTCATACATATATGTTATATATATTATAACATGCCTTAGTGGCTACCTCTGCATAAGTTGTAGTCAAGGGCGGTTACCTCTGCATTTGATGTAACTAACTTGTAACTAACTACTTTTGGACATAAAATATTTATTTATTTTTTTATTTATTTTTATTTACTTTATTTATTTTATTACATTTCATATTTGTTAACATATTCTGCTGTAGGTGGTCCCATATTCGAACTCCGTCAGACATAACTTCAAAATGATAATCTGAAATTTCGATCTTCGATCTTTTATTTGTCCTCAATTCGAAAAAGTATTTGCGAAGTGCAGGATATTTAAATAGAAACGCGTTTAAAGCAAACAATCTCCTGCATTACTTGTCAACTAGTTTCAAGTCAGCTTTTTGTAGCTAACTACAAATTACTTATTTTATAGAACTCCTGCAAAAAAGCTAACTACAAGTGGGTTATTTTTTTATTAATTGATAATTTTTTTCTGCAGGGTATATATGTATATATATGTGTATATATGTAGGTGCATACTTGCGTAAGTATAAACTTTGCAAAATTTGTTTTGCATGTTGCTTTTTTTCGCAACATTTGCAGTAAGTACTGAATTTTTAAATAGTTTCAGAATTTTTAAACAAACAAAGCGCATTGACGAAGAAATTGAAAATAAATCTACAAAATGCTGTTTTTTACGTTCAAAGTAGAACCCAAATATGACTATGTATGGATAATACTTCGGATGCAATATTAAAAAAAAAAATAAATAAATTATTTAGACAGAATATTTTCGAAAACTTGAGTCGTGAGACTGTGGTTTCCAGAAGACACGACGGCATTCCATTTGAGGCATCACTAAGCCACACCGCTGTCACTGCCTTCATCTCTCTGACTCATTGCATTCCCAATGTAAACAATAAATATTTTTTCATCAATTGAAATTTATGTTGTGCTATATTTAAAAATATGAACACCATTCGTATTTGTCACAGGCAGCTAACCTACATACAACGCCACCAACTAATCCCATATGGATATTTTGCAAAAGTTTAATTATATTGGAATTGCGTGGGTGCATAAATATGTATGTATTTATGTATGTATGTAAGATTATATTGTAAATTTCCTTATTCATTTTTTATATTCATCCATTTTAGTGTATGTATTTGCTAAGGTCATGAATTCATAGATTTTGTTTACAAATAAAATTTTTAATTCTAGAATAACCAATTAACAACAAAGTAGACAACCCATCGCCAGCTAGCGAATGCCACAAGGAGACAGTGAAATAAATTTGCTTATAATGAATATATATTTGCAAAAACAAAAATTTACACTTTTATTTTCTTTTCCTTCACATACATACATATGTACATATGTACACACATGCATCAACATTAACATTTTTGCGTTTGTTAGTGCCTGCATTTTTTAGACATTTCAAGTGAGTTAGAATTGTGACGTCACACTCTATAAAATATCGTTATTTCTAATAACGCCCACCATCTCACTAGCTGTGCTTCATCCCAGCTGTCATAGAAATATTTGTATGTATGTATAAATACATATATGTACTTATGTATGCATGCATAGCAAATTCGTATTCATCTAAAAGATTTTACATTGAGGTTCGCCGATTTTGCTGGAACATTATGATTTTCACTTGTTTAAGTCAATTAATAAGCGATTATTAATTGCTATGATTTAGAATTTAACTGCTTATAAATACGGTTTTGCATTTCCTTAACTGGTCACTTACGCGTACCGGTTACTCCTACACTTTTCGAAGAGCAGTTACAGTAAATGTGAAAAATTGTAAAGCACTCAGCGTTGCCGCTTTGGTAATTTTTAACCAAAATTGGTAATTTTTTTTCTTTATTTATAAAGTTTGATAATTTATTTTTCAATTTGGTAGCTTTTTCGATTCGGTCTTACATTACTAGGTGGACCGTAAGAGTTTCTTTTTATAGAAATACCAGGTAATCCTGAAAGTTTCGCAAGGCGAAAGTTGTTCTAGCGTTCCTCGGCTCCTAGAATGGTGTGTTCTTTAACAAACTGCTTGAAAGTGCCTATTACTAAGTATATCCTACGTGCTCTTTCCTGGAAGGTTTTGGGTGGTCCTACCTTTCCCTGTCAGTTCGTCAGCTTTTCAATTACCATCAATTGTCCGTTGTACCCGGCAACCATATATGTATATGAATAGAATTCTATGTAAAAACTTATGTTCTCGTTCAAAAAGCTACGGCATTCAGCGGGGGACTTCACTCTGTCTATGTGTAAGTCGAAAGCTTTCCTTAAATCGTTGAATTTTGGATATATTACCTTGTCACTTGCTTACATACAGTGGTCGAAAAAATTATAGCCGCACCATATTTTGACTAGTTTTAACATATAAGGTTTGGTTTTGTAATTTAATTATATTTTTTATAAAAATATTGTTCTTTCTTTAACAGAGCTCAAACAAATTCAAATTTAAAACTTTGCTCAATATTTACAAAAATTTAAAAATTTTAGGTTAATGGAGCCCTAGATGCTCTAGGAATATTTCTGCATCAAAAAGAAAATAAAAAAGGCGCTTACGTTATTTTGGCGGTTAAGGCTCGATATGTAAGTTTGTACAGTTCTGCACATAAAATAGGTTTGGTAGTTTTTTGTTGAATTCGGTAACCTTTTCCGGTGATTTGGTAAAAAAAAAAAATGTGGCAACACTGAATGCACTTTACCCCAAAAGAGCAATTTTTGCCGAAATGGTATACTTGTTTTGAGTGAAAACTCATGTGAAAACTATTTGCTCTCAAACAGTGTTTCAGTTGCGCTAAATATGGGTGGCAGGGAGAGTTTGTTTTATTAGCGATGTTCTCATCGCTAATGATCGGAGTCCGGATAACATCTTTGCTTGCAAATACAACAACGAAGCACAGTGTTTTGACTATATGGATGGAAGGAGGAACGAACAGTTAACGTCCAGCGACGTTCCACTATTAGAAAAGCAAAGGATATGTTAAAAAATTACAAAGCTATAAAAACCCTCTCTTCTCGCAATGCTTGGTGTGATTTTACCAATCTTTTACATTTTTTTTTTACCGAAATTACGCAAAAAGTAGGTTAAAATTGAAAATTAAGAAAATCGAATAATACTTATATTTGCAAAGTCGCATGAAAATATCCAATTTTATGGCCGAAAACTATAAGTAATTTTCTAAAACTTGTGTCTAATTTCAAGACCTGACGAACATATACTCACACTTTTTTAATAACAATCATTGGCATCTACATTTCCAAATAAATTTTTTGATAAAAGAGCAAAATACCAAATATATGATAAATGCCGGGAATAATTCCTGAAACTAAGAGAATTAATTACAGCCAAAAAAGAAGCATTTGCTTTATTGGGTTCAGCGCCAAAAGCAACTAAACTGATTAGTCGGATTAGCGCCGGTTCTAGCATTGTTTTGGAAATGTACCGTTCGTGGGGAGAGGGGCTGAGTAAATGATGTGAAATTTTGTATTTATGACTTTTACTTTTCCCCCTGTAAGCCCAAAAGTTTGTTTTTATCAACTGTCACCATGGCATTTTCCACCTGCCTCCATATAGTGGATTTTACCATGGCCATGCCCATATAAAATCTATAGAGAGCTTAAACAAGTTTCTCCCACGGGATAGGTATGTGCCAAATGTTTGGAAAGCTCAAAAAGGTACTGTTAAAGGACTACTCTTTGGTTTTTCCTGGTATAAAATGCATAGAAAGCATTTAAAAACTTCACACGCTAGCTTTCTTGCTGGAGTCGCCAAAAGTGCTTTTTATCATTTTCAAAATGTAATGTTTTATTACTTGCTGTAGAATAGAATAATAGTATTTTAGCGCCTACACTTTTGCTAAGTATTTAGAGGAGCTGCTCTTCCAATTTGTGGTGTGCGTCTTGATCTTTTTACACAAATGGGGGGACCCACAGTTTTACGCCGTCTCCGAATGGCAAATGGATTTTATGAGAAACCTGTTCATGACAGAAATACACGAAGGTTTTCAATGGCCTGCCGAGGCGCGACCGCTTTTAGAAAAAACTTACTAATTTAGATGTCCCTTGAATGTTCTAATTTAAATGCTGGATCGAACCCTGCTGCTGTGGAGCGGTAGTACGCAATTCTAACCACTCAGTCACAGCGGCTGAAGAATATGATCCAATTATTTAGTATACTTTCTTATATACATACATATGTATATTTTTAAATCTTCATTTTATTAATTATTTTTTTTTTATACAAAATATCTAGAATTAAACCAAAAATTCTAAATTTGCATAATTTTCTTCATGCCACGAAATGCGACCCAACTGTTTGAGCGTAATTTCTCACACCCTCAATTTATCGTTCTCCCTTGCTCAGCTTTGAGCATTTTACTAAAGTATCTTCAAGTGCGCAATGGAAAGCAACTGAATACGCCAGCGAATAAAAACCAGTGACTGAGTGAGATACAAATTAGTCTCAAAGTAGAAATCCAAGCGATAACTTCTCAATTGTGCGGAGCAAAAAGTCGATTTGTGCAAAAGCAAATAATAAGAGAACAGCAGAAACAGCAGAAAAGTTGACAAGTGGAAACGTAGTAAACATTGTTTTGAATTAAAAGAGAAGACACCCATACAAACATACAAAGATAACCAAAATTTGTTTCGGCAAATAATAATTTTTCGTGAATAAATCAATAAATTTGTGTTAAGGAGTCCATAAAATGGCTGATGCTAACAAGAGGAATATCCCCATCAAATTGGGCGACTTCAGCATTATTGATACAGAATTCTCGAGCATTCGTGAACGCTTCGATGCGGAAATGCGCAAAATGGAAGAGGAGATGAACAAGTTCCGGCATGAGTTGATGTCGCGCGAGGCAAACTTCTTCGAGTCCAGCAGGTGTGTACACAATGAAATGAAAAAGTTAAAGGATTGTACATATGTATGTAGGAAGAAAGGGTGGTTTCGTGTTTTCTAAATTAATGAGCAAAAAAACAACCACGAAAAAACGTATGTATGAGCGCATAGAATTCTTTTTTTTGTAAGCAGCTTCTGTTCATCAGCAGCGCTTCCAGTTCCTGTGCGCCCGAATTGTTCAAAATGTTGTGACATCTGCGCAGAGTTTCTATTTTTTGGCAGAAAAGCTACATTTAATTCAACCATCAGTGTAAAAGGCATTCGAATCGGCTATTTTAGTGTTTTTTTGGTCTGTAACTTGACACCTTACAATTTTTCATGCATAACGTGAGTTTTGCTTCGCCCACTTCTGTGTTCGCGGTCGTATGCTGTTAATTAAGTGCTTCAATGTATGGAATTATGTCTCGTATCTAATTTGCCAGCTTAGCACGCTGTTGTTGTGCTGCTAGACTAAGTGATAGTTGAGTCTATGAAAATCCCGCAAGAGTTTCAGCCAGCTCAGGTATCACACTTTCTCACACTCTATAAATGATTTGAAGCTACACTGTAAGTGAAGATACTTCGGAACTGCCGAATGTAGATATGTACAGCCCGCGACAAAAGATAGCACATCAAAATTTTTACCAGGTTTGCCTACTTTTCTTTTGCTTTGTTTAAGATTCATTATTTTTTTATTAAAGTTCAGCTCCTTATCTAACAAAAACCATATAAATAATAAATAATTTAATAAATTTTCAAACTTTGCCCAAAAACTTTAAAAATTGCTAAATTAATCTATGGTATGCCGATATATAGCTTATTAAAATCTAGCATAATAAAGTGACAGTTTGAAGTTGCTAAAAAATCGCATTGATTTTTGATATTTTTTTTCTGACGGTGTTATACACTTTTTTCCTTAAAAAAATTACTTTGCATAGAAGAAAATGCGTGATACCGTTAGAAAAAAAAATTTATTAAAACTCAAAGCGATTTTTTAGCTACATACTTCAAACTTGTACTTTATTGTACTAGAATTTAATAAGCTATAAAACTACTTACCGAAAATTATCGTAGAAATTAAAATTAAAATGCTCGGAATTGGGATGAAAAATTTGTGGAATTTTTAAAATTTTTGTACAAAGTCTGAAATTTGGATTTATTTACATGGCAGATCTATACTTTTATATAAAAACAATGAATATTAAACAAACAAAAGATAAAAACTCAAAACTGTTCAAAATGTTGAGGTGCTATCGTTTTGTCGCGGGCTGTGTGCATGTACATACGCACATACTTATGCTCATTTACTAAAATCCTGTCACAACTCAAAAACTAGACTTTTGAGGAGACTTGTTTAACTTTCCAAGTTTCGGCCAAAACGTAAAGACGGGATACATATTTTCTTACGAATTCATGTAACTACATCGTTCCCATAACTTACTTTAGTACCGCTTTGTAATTTTTGGGAATTATGTACATATAACAGTAATTCTACATCATTTGCTCAAAAATGTAATTTTTTTGTGTTATCGACAGTCTTTTAGTAAAAGAGCTATGCAGTTGCGGCTAACGAACAGCAGCGCACATGTACATATGCACTTCTTTTTTCCTGCATTTTTTTGTGGTGGCAGACAGACATTTCTATTCTACATTGCGGCTTTTGTAGTGACAAGGACAGTGGATCAAAATGGGGTTTCACAGTTTTTTTTTAACTACTTCTGATTACAGATGGCCGCGGAATATCGGTACCCGCGGGACCCATGGTAATAAAATCTTCCTTAAAACTGTTATAGCTTTTGAGTTTTCGGAATGATTATTATTCTTAAGTGAAACAAATAGAACTCAATAATAACAATAATAATAGTAACTATTATCTTTGAGCGAAAAAATAAAAATCAAGTAATAATAATTTCCTTTGAGTGAAAAAAAATTCAAATATTAACTATTATATAATAAAAATCATTGTAAATTTCAGTAGGACGTACGAACACAAATACGTGAGTATAATTAAAATTGTTTACGACGATTACAACTTGTTGATTTTTATACCCGAGCGCACTTGTGCACAAGGGTATATTAATTTTGTTCACATAACGGTTGTTTGTAACAGCCAAAACGAATCGAGATAGATATAGACAAATGTATACATAAATGATCAG